CAATGCCTTTAGACAAAAGCCATTGTAGAAATGTAAAAGAAGGGAATAGCTTTTCTTCACAACTTTTTTGGGATGGAAAGAGAGACAGACTATGGGATAGTAATATTCGAAAGAAATAAATATTAAAGAAAAGAACATTTTTTTTTCATCAACAAATACCAAAACCGAAGCCATTTTCGCGAGTGGTCTTCTAGCGCAGTGTAGCTGGTGCAAATGAAATTAATTCACTTCGAGGTCGAGATACTGTAACGGCTCACATGTGAATGCCGTTTTGGCAATTTTTTGTGGAAATGGAGGGAAAATTGAGAGAATAATAAATATTAAAATGTATCAATGAGTGCTTTATACAAGTTTGAATTTACAAAAAAAAAAAAAAAAAAAACAAATCATTTACATAGCCTGGTGCTAGCGGAATACATAGCCTACAGCCCGAAAAATTCGAATGACAAGAATGAGAATTGTCAGATTTATCTTATGGGCCGTTTTAAAATATTGTATTTCGAGAAAAATCCTTTTAAACGAGCATAAACACCTTGTGTTTGAAATAATTAGGCAAGACATCAGATCGTAACCTATCATCAGAGATGCATTTCACACGAAAAAATTTTCTCCAGATAATGACTATTTTCCAGCCATCGTAGGAAATTCATTGCATCTACTGGACCATTTAAAACAAAGTTTGCTTGAAAAATATACCGTAGTTTTCTGCGTAAAGAAAGTTCGTGAATGAAAATAAAGAAGACAATGTCACTTCTTCCGCTTGAGTAACCAAGTAGGTAAGAATCGCGACCGGCAAGTCAATGTTCGCGGGCGCAAATTAAAGCACAGTAGAGAAACGCACCCACCTGACTGCGGCCACCATCTGCCTATTTTTTTCTTTCACTTTCCCCACATCTTTTTGACACTCAACGCGTTACGCGAATCGGGGTCTGGTCATATCAAAAAAAAATAAAAAATAAAAAAAATTGATTATCGTTTAGATTGTCAGTTATGCAAAAATGATGTTCACAAGTTGAGACTTGGCGTATACTACACCATGATAGTTTACTTTTTCGAATTGAATTTGGAAGTTTACATGGAATATAATGATAATTATTTAATCGGCTTAGATTTTAATGAGAAGTAAAATGCAATTTCACTCAGCTAACTAGAATTCAATTAAGTTTATGTAAGGAGTCAAAAATCAGTACAAGTGCAATATGTTTTTGAAATTTGGCAACATTCCGCCCCCATTTTTTGTTTATCTTTCTTTCTTTTCCTTTCGTAAGCAACTTGTTATTGCCGTAATAAACATCAGAAATTCCACCCTATTTTTTAGTGAAGACATGTATGTTTGTTATTGTTGTCGTATGTACGCCACAATGGCACGTTTTAAATTTTTCAAAATAACAAGAAATTCCCTCAAGCTTTTGTTCTACTAGAGGAAAGTGGAGAGAAGACTTGACTGATTTTTCTCTTTTTTTTTTCATATTTATCTCATATACAAACACATACGATATTTGGTTGAGAGAGCTATTAAAATTTATCTGCTTGATAAAATCTTATATCGTATCGTATGTAGTGTTCATCTAGTCTCTAGTATATATTTCAAATAACATTTGTACATAATTGGTCAGCAACTGGGGTAAACTGACAGTAATCAAAATTAAACCACGCTTCGCCCTATTTCATCATAAATTTGGATGAAGCCTTCGTCCTCTGTAGTTAATTTCAAAGACGACTTGAAGCTCTGTGTGCAGTTTTAAGATCTCAAACATAATAATAAAATGTATTTATTATGTCATTTTTCACGTAAACTTTCCGAATTGAAGCCCCCACGTCGATAATGACAAAGACGCATACACTGACTTTTGTATTTATCTGCTTTACACGTATTTCGCAAATATACCTTTTATTGGATATAAAATGAAGGAAAGCAGAGAGAGAGAGAGAGAGTGAAAACTACTTTGACAAAAATTCATAACATTTTATATGCTATCGCATTATACCACTAAAATAATCAAGCCTGGCTTGTATACTATATACACAAAACATAGAAGGAGAGAAGATTAAGTTTGGAATGAATATTCCATTGGCTAACGCCACCAACTTGTTCTGCATTTAATTGCAAAACAAAAGTAGGATCCATTCGCTCGATATGCATTGTATATCGTATACATATATATTTCAAGTCGTAATATTTTAAAATTAAGCAGCACTTCAGAGAAGAGAACTAAAACGAAGAATGAAGGCAACGTTTGGATACAGTTTCCTATTAGATATATAGACTATGCGAATAGATCGATAGATATAGGGCGAATAGTTAAGGTATATATGTATGTGTATATATCTTTAGGGAATATGTGGTTGCTATTTCTTGGCGTTCCAAGTGTTTAATAAATCTAATATACTTACTGAGATAAATATAGTAAAGCATAAGTAGTAGAAGCAAGTACAAGCAACACTAAAAATTAGTTTAATACTAACTGGGAAACATAGTCAAGAAGAATATTAAAGCAAACAGACAGAGATGGCTTTAATAAGAAAAAAAAAAAAAACTTCTAAAAACGCGTGCGTTCTGTTAGAACGTGAAAGTGAATTAAGTGTGAACGTGAACGTGAGGAAGACAACTTGTAGAGCAGTTCTGTTAAACTAAGCAAAGTGACAAAGCTCTTTTATCGTGAAAAAGTAACATGGGAAGACATGATTCAAAAACAGAAAAAAAAAAACCATATAACATAACAAATACGTTTGCTCTCGCACAGTCACGACATTTATTAAATTCTTTCAATCTAATAGTTGTTGAATTCTCTTTATGTGTCCTTGTTTCCACTTGTTTACTTCATAATAATAATCATAAGGAATACATTCTTGCGCCATTTAAATAAAACACCTTCATGGAAACCGAAGAATTGTCTGCTATCTTTTCCCTTGAACTCTACCCTCTACTTACCACACAGCTAGTACATAACTGTTGATTTCAATATTATTACGAAACACAGCGCAGCGCTTTAAAAAGGAATAAATTCTTTCTTTATTTTGTGTTAAATTGGATTTGTTGTGTTTTTGACTAACCGAACAAGAATAAGTTTTGATCATATCATAGAATGCGGCCTTGGTGTATGAATGAATGCACTTTCATTTTCATCATCTTCTTGACTTTATTTCGCTTAACAAAACCTTTTGATGAATTCATTAAAAGTTCCATGAATATAAGAATTTCAGTTATTCACTTTCCCACTTGTTGCACTTTTTGTGACTCTGCTATACTTGGCGGTTAATTTCTGTGTTCGATACTGTTGCTATCCATTACTTCATTATTGATAATTAATTCACAGCGATGATGATGTAAGCTAATGTAAGACAATGTATGCGTATAAAAGGCAAAGAATGAAAGAAGCAAACAATTTTTCAAGGTTTTCTGAAGAGTGATCTGTGAAAATAATGGACATCGTCTGATTACCAAATTGTCATTGCATTATGATATCAAGAGAGTAAAGAAAATAGAAATAAACAGTCACCGGATTTCTACAAGAGAGAGAGTTTGCTATACACGAAACAATATTTTTGATGTTTGGGGCATAAAACTGTAAAACTGTATAATTTCTTGCAACGTTAAAGAAAATCAACCAAAACGTGGCGTATTTGGGTAAAAATAGCCTCGTTCTCTTATCACCTATCCACCAAGTAAAAAAAGCTGATACATAAGAGTCAATGTCACCATCGTTGGATGTAACATGATACAAGAACTGTAACCTTTCCTTTCGAAAGATAATGATCGACTTAACCTCTAACCAGTTGAAGACAACGTTATGAACAGGAACGACAGTTGAACCAATCTCTGTTCGGACGTTGAAAATACTAAGCATCGTATTTCTTTTTTTGTTTTGCAAAGAAACAGAAAAAAATGAAGTTTGTCTGTACTCTTAAATGGGCGGGGCTGATCTTTTTCACTTTTATATATATATTGCAATATCGCTCATAGAATAGACCTGGAGATATTTATCGTTATGTTTATTTTACGACGTGAATATCAATCAAAGAACTTCTTCTTCGTGACACTAAAGGCGTGTCCTTTGACTGATTACCCTGCTTTTCGGCACAAATGTTCTTATATAAGCTTCCAATCCTTATGGTGGTGTAAGCAAAGGCAATGGGACGACTCCTTGATCACAATTTATTTGTTAAAACATATGCTAATCGTTGTCATCTTAGTTGGCTGGATCTTTTGGTCGAACATTAGCCCAATTTTTCAGGGGTAAATCGAGAAGTCTAAGCCTATACTTATAAGCTGGTAGAGATCACAAACATTACATAGTTGTGAATGCAGCAAATCTATATAGTGTATCTTCGTTTTTTCTGAAACCGGCCTATTTGGTTAATTCCAGAGGATGTGTATCCGTTTTTATGATGTCTGACAATTTGAATTTTTCGTGAAAATAATTGTATGCGAAACGACTGTAGTTCCGTAGTAGTGGCTAAATCCCTCCAAAGAAATACGACTATTAATGCTAAAGAACTGAGCAAGCTCTACAGTGATCAAGATTTCATACCATGGCCATCAAAAAAAAATTGTTTTGAAAACTTTTGCAAATAAAAATTAAAATTCAAAATATAATAAAAGTTTTGTTTTATTTTAAAAACAGTCGATATTCTCCAACTGACACTTCCGCAAACCCATAAGTCTTTGCCATCTTGATACATTGCCTTTGCGTGAGGGTTAAGCAAAGACCATCCATTCCAAGGTTAATGCGATTTTCTCTTTTCAAATATTATATAATATCACTTTTATTTCTACATATACATATACTTTTCCGTGCACTTCCTTAGCAGCATGTCTCGGTTTATGGTGTGCAAAGGTTAAAAAATCATTTCCTTCAAGTTTGACTATTTCATTAGCGAGAAAAATACCGCAAAAGGACGTAATGCTTAGTCGCTTTTCTCTACTGACTTTTTATTTTGATGTACTGCGTGTTTACAATTTAATTTAGAATATGTCTTCTTCTTCTTTTTTCCAACAGGACAAACGTGACTGTGGTGCACCTTGTCATGCCATGTTCTTTCCGGAAAAAGAACGTACTGTACTACGCTATTGGGTCGGATCATGGGCTGCAGTATGTGTCGCTAGTTGCTTATTTACGGTAAGTACCAATGAGAATGAAAATCACAGTTATTATCGTGCAATGATTTCAACTTTCGTCAAAAAGTTTTTCCCGAATCAGAGCCATTTACGGGTCTAGACACTTAAGTTAATTAATAGTAAGTACTTAATTTAACTTTTGGATAACGTCGTCGCAAATTGAGTTAACAACGATTAATTTCATCAATGAACATTATTGAATATTATTACTATACTGTGTTTGACAAGTCTTAAGAATATTGTACAGCACTATGCAAATTATGCCAATAATTTCATATAAACAAAAGTGGTAGACGAGACAATGAACTTATCTTACGTTTCTTTATTGGCGTTAAGTTAAATAGATAAATATCTAAAGGAAATGAAATTGTGTAGGCTACGTCAACTACAGTAATAAGACAGCTAGTCTACACTTAACAGCACTATAAAATCATCCTTGTAATCAGCGGGAGATAGTAATTCCCGTCAATGTGCTCGCTACATACCGCAAGCAGCTGAGTTGCTAGAAAGCAATCAAGGAAATGTTAGCATGACGTTACTGTCATTTGACTGAATGAAATCATCTTCTCCTTAACTCTCGCTCTACCGCCCTCTTCTCTGATGCTCCCTCTTTCTCTTCTTTATAAATGTTTTTGTCAGTGAACACTGATTGCTTACGCCACTCGGTGTAGGTAGGTCATTATGAACTGCTTGTCCGAGCCCAAGTCTTGTTCGGGGAAAGATGCGAATATATACTTCTTCATATACTTCATGCGATCTTATATGCGTGCGATGCATTTAAATTGACCACAGTCAGCTAACACGGGACCTTAACAGTAACGTTTTATACTCCTTGCTAATTCAGCTACTTTTGAATGTACTGAGATTATGTCCAATTTTGGAATATATAAATTGTATGCGTGTGCAGCATGTCCAACACAAGAAATTTGAATGAATGAACGAAACCGAAATTTCTCGCTATCAATTTATTTTTACTCTAAGGTGCAGTCATTTTTCTAAAATCATTCCATTACCAACTAGCCTTAGGAATATTTAGGCATTTCCGAAATTTTCTTGGCATTTGATAGTTATATGTAACGTCTTACCGTCTTTCTATGTCGTAATTGTTTCCAAAAAAATGCAGGTGTGCCCCAGCAGAGGCGGTTTGAACTAAATAATGATCTTCCCGAATAGCTCGCATGTTTCTCTGGGGCAGAAGTTATAACCACACTCAAGTTGAATGCCGCCATTGCATTAATATCTCCCTATAGTGTCAGTATTTTGAACAACGTGGTAGAGAAACCGCTATGCTATACTTAAAGTGGGACGATTTCTTAAGCTTAAGGTAATGCAAGATTATTGAAGACAATATCCGACGGTCTGTTAAAAACCCATAATATACCATTTTGCCTCCTTCCACTGAGCCTAGAAAATGCTAGAAAATGCACCTCCGCAACATATTACTCGAAAGGGTCTTAAGTTTAGAACAAACTTGGCAAACGATTGGCAAGGATTGTGTTCATGTTGATATTTGGTCAGTAAAAACAGAAAACCAGCTGTGCTTATTATACTTATTACACTTATTGTACTCTACACTTATGTCGTACGAAATGTATTAAATTTGTGCGGATATATACAACAGCAAGAAAGACTTGTGATAAACTCACCTCTTGTTATACCGATTGATTCAGAGTTATTCAGATTTAAGTTCATGTGGCGGTACATCAGTTTCTTCTGTTCAACTTACAGAGCGTAATTTTTGAGATATTAAAGAAATTTGGTAAACGTACGTGTTCTCACAGCCTAAGGACGAACTCTATCGACAGTGGTTCGGATTGGTTATTTCATCGACAGCTTCCCCTATGACGCCTTATATTCAAAAGTCGTTATATGAAGACAATATTCACAATTTCGCGACAAATGCCAGTGAATACCAGTGTTTTGGCACTCTAAATAGGTGAGATTAATTCGGCATGGATAGGACAATTTTTTTTAACCCCTTGCTATGTAACCGCATATAAGTGTTTGTGTGGCAAAAGTGGTTCATCGGAATACTTTGATTCAAAACTCATCTGCATACAATTTTGATTAAGAATAGAAGGTTTATCATGAAATGTTCAAGCCTTATATATCCGTTTTTAATATGTTATGATGAAAGTAGGTCCATAGTAAATTAACCGTAGGTCATTTCGATCACATAAGTTTATTTTTTTAGGCCCAACCGTATATAGGGGGATCCCATGAAAAGCAAGTCTTTCTGTGGCAACAAAGACTACCACTGAAGAAAACCACTGAAAAATAATAAATCAAGTTTGCTGTATCTGGACCACGTTAGTTGACAGCTTGAGCATGCTTAAATATAAAAGTTTGATGAAAAGAGTGAGTCTACATATAAAGAATGTACAATTTTTGGCGTATTATTACAAAAGTGAATGCATGTTCATTTTAGGCAAACTAGTGTAGAGTATCTAATGGCCTTGTCCGATGGTATAATGATCTTGGTTGTATTTATGTAATATATTAGGCAATCTCCTAAATGGCAATGAGGTTCGCAGTTAATACGAACTACCACAGATCGAAGTTATGGGTTCCGAATGGTGGCGTCCATGCCAATCGCTTCATCCAATGACGAATGTTTTAAAGAGATTGTGTGTCATACAATGAAAATAGAATTGCGCATATTGACAATGTCGAAGATATTATGCCATAGAATTTATGCTTGAAAAGTTCGAGAACGAGATTAAAAGGTTTGATCCCTGCACACGCATTTGTCATTCGGTTTTTGTATATCATATGCATATCATATGCATTCGTACGGATTTTGAATACTTTTCCCTTTTAGTGAAATAATCAGTTGTTTGCAAAACTGTTTGCAAAACTGTTTATAAATATATTTTTTTTATTATTTCATTTATAATAAATTTGTTGTCGCTGCTGCAGAGAAACATTTACTTATTTGACATGAGGTTATCAAAAATACTTTACAAGGAACAAACAGCTTGTCATTTGCACATACACCAAATGCCACAACTACAAAATGTTATATATATACATACATGCGAACGTTATGTAATTTAGACTACATGGGCACACATGTTCCCGGCTACATGTTTATTTTTACTTTAAATATATGTAAGTACACACATATGTGCTCATATTTAGTATTAAAAAGGAAAATTGTTACGTCGGTCAAAGAGATTCGTTTAGTTCTTCCAAATATTAATAATGCATAAATATTTCTTTATCGCATTTACTGAACTATATCGGTTACATTGACGTCATTCTTACATTCTCCAGAACAAATGTCGTTTAATAAAAAAATTTTTTTATATGTTTCGTAGGCGACTCAAATCCGCATATTTTTCCACTGACTAACCAACTAACTAAGTAACTGACAACCAGTGATACCTAGCTATGATTATTTAACTTAGAAGGTTTTTGAAACTACCTGTTATAGGGATATGCTAAGTCTGCCTGACTGCAATTAGTTCGCTGGAACTCGACTAAATGAAAAATACTCCCCATCCGTTTAGTGATAAGCAGATGGAAAATCATATGTTGAGGTTTGGGTGATCTAGATGTTTATTCCTTTTAATATGTTTCGGATATTTTTTGTAATGCTTTGCAGATAAAAAAAATTAAATCAGAAAATTTATTTCCTGTAACATATGGAAAATTTGTGTATAGGCAGATATGATAGTCTTATAGCTGCATGAAAAGAACGCAAATGTTTTGAAGCGTTTCTGCAAACAGACACAATTTTTCGCCAACATATGTGTGCGTCAGTTGTGTTTAAATTTATCGCTTTTATTGCATAATTCTGTGTACAATAAAATTAATTTCATTTTTTCGAATATATTAAATAAGCAATACGCTTCATTCGGTGTATATTTCTTTTCAGTGTCTACCGCCACATATTGAGAAAATTGTTTTGAGAGTTTCAAGTTTCCATGGAAGCAAAGTTAATTAGTCTAAAACATATTGAGCTGCGGTCACGGAAACAACGGCTTTAATATTTTGTAATGTAATGTAACACTTGAGAAAATAATTTTATCCCTCCTATTAAGCTTAATAATTTTTAAACTGCACTCTACACAATCTACATTACATTCACATTATTTTAATTTAAAATTTGTTCTGTGTCGAGTTAATCATCACGCCAGTTCGTCCGTCCGTCTATACATGTAAATCAAAATCTTGAACGCAACACATTATCTAAACTATCAAAGGTCAGGATGTGAGATGAAGTTTGTAAACCAAATCGTCGACAATTGTTAAGATTCCAAAAATAGTAGAAATTTGTTGTTTTTGTAATAATTTCTGTAATAAATTTTATTGCGTATGCCTTTATTTGTTGCTTTTTCGATAAGTGTTTTATGCGTTATTATACTTAAATGTTTAGTTGTAGTTATATTATTTTGGGGACAAAAACCAAAAAGAAAGGCTTAGTGACGAAGACATATTTATTTCTAAAAAATAGTGCCATTTGTTCACCGTATACTGCAGATAGACCTTAAGAAGTTGCAATAAATCAGTCATTTTTGTTTCAAACAAGCTTACCAAAGCTATCGAAAGATCTCGACATATCCTTACGCTTCGCTGGCACGTAATCACTTTTTCATTGCCTTTTTTTTTTCTTATTACCACTGTAAACTCTATTGAGTTGTATATTATATATTAAGTTAACGTTTGCAACACCTAAAAAGAAAAGTTTCGAAGAACCCATAAAGTATCTATTCTTGATCAGTATCAAATTCTGGATCGATCGTGTAAGCATGTCCGTGTCTTCCGATACGTTTGTGCATGTGCTAAACATTGGAAGTTTTTATTTGTGGGTTAGTATTAAAAATAGTCTAGATCGGCCAAACGAAACGCCCACAATACATTATAAACTGAGTACATAGTTGTTTTCTAAAACATAGAAAAAAATGTTGGACAATCTCTAACAAAAGCTACATAAATATGGAAAAATGTGTTCGGGCCCACCCATATCGAAATTTCATCTTGTTGATAAAATGATATATAGGATATAAAAGATTCGGCCACAGCCAAATGTATTTTTGTGAGTTGTTGTTTTTTCTTTCTTTTTTTTTTTTTCTTCTTAGCATTGTAACGCTAATGTCAGTGCGTCACTGCAATTGCTAAACACTTTCGTCTATCTATACATAGAAACCGTGTGTGTGGGTGATTATTTATGATTATGCTAATTAAATGACAAAACTGTGACAGCTGTCATAGCATCACATTGGAGTGTACTTATACAACATAAATGTTTTGCCCAAATAAGTTCCATATCGCTAGAGAGAAGTTGAGATAATATTTTGGTATAAAACTACGCAATTTATGTAAATGAGAGCCGCTTTCTCTTCGAGTGTATGCATATGTGCTTCTTTGGTCGTGTGCAAACTGAAATATATATATATATATATATATATACATGTAACATTTTACATTCAAACGAGCTACACCCTTGCTCCGGCATCTACGCGCTTAGGTAAGCATTTACTTGCAAACAAATAAAAGCGCATACAATAGCAATGGACAACGCAAGAAAAACAAAAAAAAAAAAAAAAAAAAACAAATAAATTACATAAATCTTTTAATGTCAGTTATGTGTATGGTTTGCAGTGCATTTTTTGTCTGCCATTGCTTTAAGTATGCTTAAATAAATAAACTGCAGACCGCAATAATCAAGCGCAACAAGCTATACCGCAGTTATTGCACATTGTATGTCAACGTATGTGCAGCACAACACAACCATTGAAAATCCAAATAATTTTAATTCAACTCAATCAACATGAAATGTTTTTTCTTAAATTATTTGCGCATACATCACTGCTCAGACTAGAACGTATATTAGCTTGAATATACGCCTTGTAAAATCGTTACCCCTGTGATAAGTAAATTTTCTAGATGGCCTATCCTTTTCTTTACATATACGCGGCCTTTCAACATGGAGAAGAATCGTAGATCTACCGTCTAACGGCAGTTACAAAAATAGTGACTAATTACAGCGCTAGGTTGAAGTTCGCACTAAACGGTTATTCGTTGGGCTTGAAGAGATTGCTCGAAGCACTAAATGCGATGCTTGCGTGGCCACATAAATCGAAGTAAACGTCAACAGTTAGAACAATTTCAGAAGCCGAGTAGCATGTTTACAGGAAATGCAGCTGAAAATCTTGCAATCTCTACTTGTCAGATGCTCTAGCACTGATAGTTGGTGTACTACCATTATCGTAAATAACGTGAAGGAAGGACCGTCTATGTAAATAAAAGGCGTTCTTGTAGAATACATCGAAAAAGGGCAAATGGTGGGTGTCGGAACTTCTGACCTTAGCGGGATGTAATCTGTTTTTCTTCTTCTTTCTAATATTTGGTTTGTCTTAGTTTTTTTTGCATTTCGGCTTCAATAACGTCGATTGCAGGGGCACGCCTACCCATATAGAAATTGCCTTGAAATTTCTACTAAATGATGAAAACTGCTCTCTCTCCCTCTCGCTCTCCTTCTCTCTCTCTCTCTCTCTCTCTCTCTCTCTCTCTCTCTCTCTCTCTCTCTCTCTAAAAAAAAAAACTCTACTAAAGTTCCTTTAGAAAATTTTTTCTTTAACCAACTGTTAAGCCACCAATCTGCTTTTGACGCATTCGTCATCAATTTTACGCTTTAAGGAAATTTGACTATATTTATATCTTTCATCAGTTTGTTATTTCATGAAAGTTTCTCAAAAATATGATATTTTCCTGCCATTTGCCATCCTATGCATAGAAATACGTCGACAACAAAATAAATTTATCAAAATATTATTTATGATAGAAAATTTATTTTTTTAGTTTTCTTTTTTATTCTCTAACAAATCACTGACATGAACGGTACCCAATCAATTGGGCTATTAAATGTATAAAGTCCGTATATCTTCATATATACAAAAATAAATACCTCAGAGAAAGTATAATTCCTTGCCCACAACAAATTACTGGTAATGGAAAATACAATTACACGGTCATTTGCGAATTCCGAGGTATCGCAGGTACGCCAATGTTTGTACTTTCAACATGGGCAACGTTAAGTGTTCTCAGTGCCCATCTGACTATTCCACGAGAAAGTTTAACATTTTTGCCCATAACCATAAACTTCGTTTACAATAATTCAGGGAAAAATCGGAATTAATTCGTGAAAATTTTCGTGCAATAGTATACTACGGCTTTCAACGTGGATTATCAAGACAAGAATGCCTTATCCTTTGCCATTGTGAAACGCTGGTATAATGAGCATCACTGTGCCATTGGAGCTGGGCGACAACTGATCATGAAAATTTGAGTTACGCCATACCATGAGATTGAGGCAACCTTCATTATTACGCCCATCCGCACTTTTTCCAACCTATTTAAACATTCTAAAATCGAATTAATGGATCGATCAACGTACAGCCTTGATTCGACATTCAATGACTCCTCTTTGTTCCCCAGCGTCAACGATAAATTGCGTGGAGACCCACTTTTGATACATTTAAAAGCGATATTTTGAAGAGCTCTGAGGTGAAATGGGAAAAACACTATGGCAAACCTATGAGAATATCTTAAGACACAGTGAAGCAATCTCTAACGAGAAATAACTGTTTTTTCAGTATTCATAATAAAAACTTGGCCGCTATCGTTGGATGAGTTTAGAATTTCGTGCTCTTGAAATATTTATTTACACTCTATGGCGTACTTACATATAGAAGCAGAAAAAGGGTTCGTGATGCCGCCTAAACATTTCAGTCTAATTATAAACTGTTGGCAAGTTTTTAAAACGTTCGAGATATTAGTCATTAGGGTAAACAGTTTCCTGGTGCGTTCACATTGAAATTTTCCTTCGTCGAGCGTATATGCATTCATTCAGATTTGTTACACTGCGGTTTGAAACAACGCTGTAAACGTACCCTTCATGTACGGCAGTCTTCTATTAAAAATTTACCATCTAAGTAAAGGATGTAAAGATAAAATTCGAATTTAACTAGCAAAGACACCTACCATACCGCGTGGAGCGGTTAGAAGGCTTTGTTAAACATTCAGCATTAAGATATAGTTGGATTTGGAAGCCTACTCCAAGTCCAGATTAAGAAATATAGAATATTTTTGTGGACACTGCATGAATGAGAGGATTCTCCCGTTCTTCTGTGCTCCTATAACTTTTACTTAAAGTTTTCATCTACATTTCCAACTGAGATATAATTTAAAAGTAATATGTGTAGAGAGATACTTAACTGTAAGCGTCAAGTTCATCCTTTCCAACAGCTCTGTACTATTCCCCATACTAATCATTTACTTACTGTCCGGCTACATACCGTTATCCTAATAATAAACGTAATTCATAGTCCCCGACTTGACTAAGCCTGCAAATCCAGCGGTAGGCACTGTATGGGACTCTGTTACATATTTAACAGACATTTACATAGCTCCTTTAAGATAATTGGTAAATGTCTTTGCTAATTATGAATTTACTAATTTAACTTTGCAATCTGATCATTTAATATATCCGGGAATAGAAATAAATTGCTGGTCATATAGCTTGTTGTTTATGTTAGGTAAAGGAACTTTTTATTTTTCTTTTCTTTTTAAGAAAAAGCATTAACTATTAATTAATAACAAAAATATTTGTACATATATATAGTAATTATAAAACAATTATATTTTTCCCGGAGATTTTTCATAATGCAAGCCTTTCCATTTAGCTGAACACAATTCATAATAACATAATTTCTACGTTTATTCTTCATTAATATAAATAATTAATCTCTTAATAAACAATTTTTTTATTTTCCAGGTCTTAACATTCCTAATCGATTCTTCACGTTTCCGTTACCCCGAACGGGCGATTGTTTTTTTGGCCGTGTGTTATCTAGTCGTAGGCTGCGCATACGTAGCCGGTTTGGGTGCTGGCGATTCAGTAGCTTGTCGCGAACCCTTTCCGCCGCCAGTTCGACTTGGTCGCTTACAAATGATGTCAACTATAACTCAAGTAAGTAAAAGAGAAAATATATATATATATATATATATGTTTTTTATGCATTTAATAATCACCTTCCCCTTCTGCTTGAGATGAAGATGCAATAAAAATAAAAAAAAATAAAAGAAAGAATTATGACATCAAATAAAATTTCTTTTATTCTCTCAATTTTTACTCTTGTTGCTCAGGGCCATCGTCAATCTACTGCTTGTACGGTATTATTTATGGCATTATATTTTTGTTGTATGGCTGCATTTGCTTGGTGGTCATGTTTGGCGTTCGCTTGGTTCTTGGCAGCCGGCCTTAAATGGGGTCACGAAGCCATCGAAAATAAATCACATTTATTTCATTTGGTCGCATGGGCAATACCAGCCTTGCAAACTATCTCAGTACTGGCGCTTGCAAAAGTTGAAGGTAAGCGAAACATACACATTTGTCTATGGATCGAAACATAGAAGTATACGCATATAAAAAATCTAATATAAAATTCATGACACTGCATTAAATATGAAATTGAATTGAGAGCTTTACAGAAAGTAAATTTATTTAAGAGATTTTCAGACGGGGGGAAGAAAAACATATATACAGATATATGCGGTATGAAAATTAAAAAAAAAAAAAAAGGAAAAAAAGAACGGCTTCCATTGCAAATGTTTGAGCATGAAAAACCTTTCAGCCCAAATTGAAAGTGAAGGTATACCAATTTTATCACATCAATTACAATACGGAGAAGTGTATGTTTAATGTTAAGTGCTTTGCGAACTTCTTTTTTGTCTTAAAAATTCATAATGTATTAGATTCTCGTTGCATGATGTTTCCGACAGGATAAACACCCTAAAAATCCAGGTTGAATTTTTTGAGGACAAATAACCAGCAATTTGTGTTCCTATGTAGCGTCTCTACGAACTGATGAGACTCTCATGAAGTCTCATCTTTAATCATCAGATCGTCCAATAAACCATTTTGTTTCAGAGCAAGGTAAATCAAAGTTGGTGGTATAAGTGAAATATTCACAGCCGTAGTTAAGTGTGAAACTTAATCATAACCCGCTCTAAATAGGTCACCAAAAAAATAGTATATAAAGCCCAAATTCGAAAATAATCTCTCCTCAACAGTTTGCAAAGGAACGTATACGGGCACTTGACCTCTGGTAGTTGCACTGCCATGGGCTTTGTAATGAATTACAAATACATACACATACAAATACACATTTGATTTGCTCTACTCGACTTAGTGACTTAACTGATTCGTTGCAGCCAGCTTCTGCTACTCCACTCATAGTTAATTCAATTATGTTATCTAATGAACAGATTAGTAAAAAAGTAATTTCGGCTATTGATTGCGTGTACAACTCTTTTTCATATGGGAACTTCAGTGTAAATATCTATATATGTCTTCAGTATGGAGAAAGAATTCTTTCACTTTCCTAGCAGTCGTGTTGTTTCTCGACTTTATCAGATTAGGGTAAAGGAGGTGATGAGATCACTATTCTAGAGTGTAAGGTGTTCATTATACGAAGCTTCCATTTAAATAAATAAAATACATTATATAACCTGCACCGTAGCAATAGATTCCGTTCCCTTATCATAGATAGCTGAGCTATGATAGTAAAGGTTAAAGGATAGAAGCAAAAAATTTGATAAAGCACATCAGATAATCGCAGCTGTGTATATCAGTATATTAGTGGTACATCTGTACAACGTGCATTTCGCCTTTTTGGATACGCCAAGTATGAAGGTATGTGATGTAAGTGTGAAACATTCCGTTTCGCGTTAAATTAACTTCAATTCTTCTTTTGCATTTGGGTTTTTCCCTTTTTTAATTCAAAATTGTTGTTTATACCCACCATTGGAGGGCACATTAATTTGCTTGGTTTATGAGCTAAATCCAACTTAAGATAGGTACGGAAAATGCATGATTTCGTTAGATCAGGTATTTCAAGTTGCTTTAACAAAATTTTGGATTGAAAACGGATGGAGTTGATCCAATACTTTACTGATTTTCGGCTTACGATCATATCTTATAACACTTGTGTGTAACCATATGCAGCAACCAGACGAATTAGAGATATTTTTAAATTTTATAAACTTGTCTCTCCCTCTCTCCGCCATGTGGTGCTATGTTCAGTCCATTGATTGCAATTTTCGACATATTTTCAAGATATTTTTTGGCATAAAAGGCGAGCGATATTGCGAATTGATTGACTTGGGCCATTTTTATGGCCTTTCTTCATATCAAGTGCTATTTCAAAGAACCCATTATGTGAAAAGAATTCGCCATTTGTCAAGTTACTCTGCAAATATCGACAAATTTCGCCATGTCGGCGTAAAGGACGTAAACGAGACGCAACCATCTTTATGATTCTCTCTCACATAAACATTTTCCGAAACAGTACATCTTCATATGGCAATAAGATCTAATTTTGAAGTTTTTATTTATGATGCAATCAGTTGAGGAACAATAATTCTGAGAAAAGAAATTAACAAAAAAACTAAATTTTCCTGACCCACTGCCTACTAAGGATTCTGATGAAATGCAAGCTTCCATATGGCAACAAAGTCTAATTTATGTACCCATCATTGAAGGAAAACTTATGCTCATTTCTACTCGAACCGTTTAAAAAATCGTATAAAGTATGCATATATATTCCTGATTAGTATCGGATTCTGAATGCAGTTGCAATGCATATCCTTGCGCCACTCTCATCTGATTACTTGCCTGTGGTAGACATAGCCCTAGCCGTTAAAAATAAGTTATAGTCATGCATTGCAATGGACATGCCCACGTGCCCACAATATAATATAAAAAATTTGCTCATCAGTCATAAATGATCAGTCATAAACAGATCAGTTCTAAAATTATTTATACACTACAACAATAACAATTTGTATATTTTACAAACGATCCTGCAATCCCTGTATAATAATCGAAGAAAACATCGCCCGCACAACACTACGTAGTGTACTGCAATTTCATTTTCTTCGACTTTTTCATTTAAGATAAAGTTTATTAGGACTAGAAGAAGAATAGGATGAAGAATTGCGTTAGGCAAACGAACCGGCCGAAATGATCGGCTTTGCTCGGCTGTAACATTTTCACTTTTTTTTTTTTTGATTATTTTATATCATCCATAAATGAAGTTTCAGGCTTGGGGATGTACCTGACTCCGCAATAGGTCGGGCATTATTGCTGTATGTGCGCGCTATTAGTGTGTGAATTTAAGTTTTTTGAAACAAATAACATTAGCGTTGGCCGATTTCAATGTATGCGGCTTTTTATTTATTTATTTTTATTTATTCCACTTACACTAGAAACTCAACTAAACAAGTAACAGTTGAGTTCAATTGGCTCTTAATGCAAAACTTATATTAATTAATAATAAAATTTAGTATAAGTATAATGAAACAAATAAGAAAAAAAAAAAA